GTATCTGGCTGCCCCCAGCATTTGTCACAGCACTTACTACTACTGCAAGGCATTGGCGCTATTACTAAAAAAATAGGAAAATTCCTCCCCATTTCAAGTGTAGGCTTCTGTAAAATCCTGCATGGCCATGACAATACTTCCTACAGGCTGAACTTCAGCTGTATAATCAGCCTTGCTAGAAAGCAAAATGCTCCATAAACCCTCCACAGTTCTGACTGGTGGCAGGAGGCAATAAACTTCAGGTTATGGTGTTAGCCCATGATCACCACAGTATAATGCACGTCAATTTCAGCAAATTTTGCATCTAATACCTTTATAATCTGAAGCTTTTGAAGTTCTCCTGTTTTAAATATCCATCTTCTGGACTGATATTTAGTGTACTGCTATAAGCCATTAGGTATCGTATTATTTTGAGTTAACTGGCTTGAAAACGGTCCTTGGGGGAAGTTCACGTACATCTTAGCTGACGTTAAAGATTCTTCACTGAAAGTTGGTAAAGGCAAAGCTCTAATCACAAGCAAAGAACATGCTTGGCTCTTGAGAAACAAGCACGGGATCTCACATACATACAAACACACGCTTAAGAAATCGTTGACAGACACGCAGAATTAAATTTGAAAAAGCTAAAACCAGACTCACAGTTTTAGAAATGCTGCATCTTTCAGGCAAATCTGCAATGAAAAGAAATGAACCATGATTTATGATTTAAGTTAATACACCAGGTAAGAAACAGAACATCTTTTTGTCTACTTGCAAACTATGGTGGAATGGAGGAGAGTGGAATGAAGCCACTTATTACCTGAGGAAAGTAACATGACAGCTATTGTAACCAAAGGCTATTGTGATCCTGCATTTTAACTCGTCTGGCAAAACACCAGCAGTAGAACCTCAGAGAATTAATGGAAATTTACAAACACCGTAAATGCTCTTCAGCTCTGTAAAGTGTTTCGTATCTTTCTCACTCAGTAAGAAACACCACACACCTTCAGCATCACAATCTTTTTCACTCTAACCAAACACATGCTTCAGTGGATTAATCTAAGCTATTACAATGACCTGATAGTATCCTAAAGTGTAGACATTGCTTGCCCATCTTCAGATTCAGAGGAAGAAAAAATCAGGTCACTCAAGAGAAATCCTTAAAAAGCACCGAATTTTATCACCAAAAGCAACAGAGACAAGAAAAATCCTAGCCAAGTGAATATCTCAATACAGTTGATCGCTTTCTTGGACTTGTTTCAGTATGAGCATCTCCATTTATCACAGTCAGGACAAGCATTATCACTGCTACCGACTCCTGCTTGTGCACCGTGGAAAAAGATTCAGGCTCAGAGTGCTCAGCACCGGTCACACAGCTCCCAGCGGGAAGAGACAGGAAAATACTTGAAGAGAGGGAAAGCAAAAGGGCAAAGGGAAAGGGAGACCAGGGAGGGAAGGAGCTGTAAGAGATGCTTTGCATCTAATTTCAAGTTGATGTGTTTGTGAAGAGATTGTTAAAATATAATCAAAGTGCTGATATGAAGTAACACCCAAGTGGGGCTGACTCCTAAGAGAAAAATAAGGGCTTTTTCCCACTCCAGATAACTAAGCACCAGATCATGCAAAGTCCAAAGCAGTGACCAAGGAAGCAACCATGTTTTGGCTGGTTCCATTTACAACAGGACAGGACCTTCTCAAGAGAGCTTAGATCAGATTCAGCCCAAAGTCCTATCAATTATAACAGGAACCTCACCATTTTGCAGTCCAGGAATGAGAGTTTTGTCTGAGGAGGGCATGTCGAAGAGGGCACAAAAAAGGCAAGCTCTTTCTGAGTGTTCTTTCATTGCCTGATTAATAGAATCTTATTAAACATCACACATGTATGCTTCTATTAAAAGTTAAAGGTCTGTAAGGCACCATACAAAGGCACTGCAGTACCATTTAGCATTAGTTAAGGGTGGACATGTGTCTGTTTTCTTTACTCAAGGTGTGATACAGCTGTGCGGTAAAGCTGGGGTTAAAGTAGGTTATCTTAGCGACACAAAAACTGCAGCAACGTAGATCAGTTGGTGAAATGGGTTAGAGAGCAGAAAATCACTGAGGAAGGTCAGAGAAGAGTACAGAGGAGAAGGCATGAGCTGGGTGGCACAGAGGAATGGAGAAGGCGAGGAAGGACGTGAGCCCTCTTTTCCAGTGACAGAGACATCACGTACCTCATATGTTGTCAAGAGCGCATGGAAGCGAGATTGCTCTTTCAGGTTCTGCTGCAGTTTGGGTCGTTCCTCCTTGCTGCCTATGTATGTCACAAAGGAAAGACCTGGAGCAAACCTGTTGTCAAGAGAAAGATATAGAAAAAACAGTGAGCCAAGCTAAGTCTTTCACGTGTTTATGACCCTGGACCCCACTATCAAACATAGCTACTGCAGAGGTAACGAGAACCTCCTATCCAAACACCCTGCCCTCCTGTGAGATGTGGCTGGATCTCAGCTTCTGAATCTAACCCCTTCCTGATTAATTTGCATCTCAGGCTGGCACCTCAGCTCCTGGTTCTGGTTTGGACAAGTCCCAAATAAACTGCATTCTCCTAGGTCTAAAGGTCCCAGGCAGATGATTGAAAACCAGTCTCATGGCCCATCTGCCATTCTGAACTGAAAAAGCTCATGAGAAGCAGGTGGATGAATACAGTTTGTCCAGTTGGGACCAAAGAATTGGCCTAAATCATGCAAAAATAAAGGCAAACAATGTCTGCAGCAAACAGGTCCAAGTCAGGGCTTCAAAAATCTACCCTCTTCATCAAAAAGCAGATAAAACCAGTTCCATGGAGGAAGACTTGGGACCATAAAATTCTTCCTCATTTAGTCCCACCACTGATATTTGCCTAAAGTTCCTCCTGGATAGCTGTTCACTGCTGATCTATGAAGGGATGCACTTTCCCCCAACTATTCCAACTGCAAGTCTACCCAAATCAGGCCAGCTCACTTCAGAACGTAACCTGGATGACTTCAGATGCTGAGAGACAGCATTGCGCGACAGCCACATAGACAGACTTCTGTTCTAATCTTTAACTTTCTGCCCTTCCTCTTAAAAGGAATGTTTAGGCTCCAGCTTAAAAATGTATACATTCTGGGCACAGCAAATGTGCCATCAGCACAGTCACTGCACCCCAGTGAAGACAGGTTGCATGCACAGATGTATTTTGCATGCATATGTGAGCATGCCAAGAATGATACTATTCAGTTTGGGTCTTACCTTTCCTCATACAGAATCCTGGCTGTCTTCAGCAGATTTGGCCTAAGAGAGGCTGAGCATGGAGGGTTACAAGACAATAAAAAGCAAGGAGCTAGTGGGGGGCATTTGTACTGAAAGTCAGCCAAGACTATAAGTTGGATGAGTTCACGTGTACCACTGCATTGTACAGACTACACATTAACTGCAAGTGGTGTTTGCATTGATTTGTAGTTTCGGTAGCTTCCCATTTTACTTTTTTCCCCTTTTGAAAGGACGAAAACTGTTGGACTGACCCCATTTGAAGAGAATCTTTGTTACTTGCTGTACAAGAATACAATGAGCTGGACAACTGTTGAAACTTACCTCTCCAGTTCCTCCTTCCAGTTGCTCAGAACGGACAGAGGACAAAGTATCAGAAATCTCTCTTTGTTCATTAATTTTTTTGTCAAATAAAGAAGTAAAGAAATAGTCTAGAAGGCAAGAAAAATAATTTTTTTTATAATAAGAAAAGGCAATAGCCTGAACCTACATAAACTGTCTACCTCTTGAGCTTTGTAGCTGGTTCCCACAGGTTCTCTAGCACAAAGCAGACCTAAGAGAACGTCACGTGAGATCCACCATCAATGACAAAAAAGCTTAGATCCCAAAATACGACCTCGATATCTGGAGCCCCTTTCCAAAGGCCTTTCGCCACAGTCACAAAAAAGATCTACCACATGTCACTTTCTAAAACTACCCGTTTGTTATTTAAGACCCACTGAATACCACCAGCTGAATCAAAGCACAAACATTCATTTTCCAACAAAACTGAAACCCATTTAAAAACTTACCAAAAAACCCAAAAGCAGCATTTACACCTATAAATTTTAATCCATGTGTTGACAAACCCAAAAATCATCTTGCTGCAGGTGCATCAAAATGACATCATCCTTTCTGTACTGGCTGTGTATTGTCCCTTCATCTCTGCGCACTATGAATTACACATCCAGATGTCTGTGTAAAATGACCACTCGGCTTTTTACAAAACCCTGGAACATTTTTGGAGCGTCACTCAGGACCTAACAGGGGTTTTAAGTGATTAAGGAATGAAAGAAATGATGAGCTCTCTCTTTTGAGTATGGACTTCAGGGTGAGGCTGCCTAACTGACCAGTCATTAGGGTGATTTTCTTTTCATTCTACAGAAACATTGGGCTAAATTAGGCAAAGATCATTTTCCAGAAGAAGACAACGACGACAACGCACCTGACAAGTCTTCCCAAGACCCATCTCATCGCCCAGGATACAGCCACGATGAACTTCGTAGCATTGCACCAGCCAGTTTACACCTTCTATTTGATAGGGACGAAGCTTAATGCCTGGGAATAAAAGCAATTTGTTACATTTACACAGTCATCCAAGACACCCTATACACAGTTACACCTTGAAGCCACCAGAAACAGGTCCTGCACAACCAGGCCATCCCAAACAACCGCCTTGCAGGAAAAGCACAACAGCTGTCAGCAAAGCTGGTTTACCCTGCCGGAGAGCAGAGACGCTACTGTTACAGCAAACTCATTAAATTAAACCATATTCAGGAACTTGTACACGCAAAAATGCCCCGAGTCATTACAGAGGCCTGTACAAGGAACCTAATCTGATAATTAAGCCACTACTTCGCATTCCTAAAAGATGGCTTGATTTTCAGCTCCAGCCACTTTTTTAAATACGTAAGTACTACATCCAGGGACACGCTTTAGGCTACCGAAAATGTCTGTAGCATTCTACTATTGTATAATAATCATTTCTCAACAAGATGTTTTCCAGCTTTCCTACGCTTAAGCGGGGACAAACCTCAAGCGTAGGTCACTAGCTACTACCACCATTGCGATCCTTACTATGGAGCACAATACATCAAAATGAACACAAAACAAGACAAGCAGGAGTTCTCAAGATCTTTCCTTGTACCTGGACTCAGGTGCTGTGTATCATTAATAACGCTGCGCCATTGCCGCCCTCTCCTCCTCGGGGAAAGGTGCAGGCTTAGGTTAGGGTTAGCATTTAGATAGTTAGTGAAGTAACTCACCAGCGCAACAGAAACCCAGACTAGCACAGGGACTGAAATACAGGCTCCCCACAGCCAAGGGAAAGGCTCGAGCAGGCTGGAGAGCCCAGGGGTCAGACCCTTCAGGCAGCGGAAAGCGCTTTAAAGCATTCACGCTCAACATCGACCTGCTTTGAGGCTGGTGAAGGTTGCCCTGCTCACCTACTCCTGGGGCACAGAGCTGTCGAAGGCTGGGCTGAGACGCTGGAGTGGGAAAAGCAGGGCTCAGGGAGCCAAGCTCCCGGCCTAACCACCCACCAAACCGCAAAGCCGAGGAAAGCGTGACCGGCGCAGCCGGGGAAGGTTTGCACGGAGCGGCAAGCACGGCAGCAATACCGTGGCTCGCTTTTACAGGCCCGGGAGCCAACTTTAGTTACACTTTTATTCATTTCAGGCCTGGGGGTTGTTATCACAGAGCCCAGCCGACCACAGCTGCACAGCGGCGGGCAGCCCCAGGGGCCCCCCGCCGCCTCCCGCGGTCCCCTCACAGAAACCGGCCCCTCAACGCGCCTTACCGCTCCCTCGCCACCCCTTCCCCCGGGCAGCCCGGGGCCTGCCCGGCTGCAAGCGGCGGCCCGCTGCCCTGTCCGACCCCCCCCGGAAACGGCCCCCTCCCCCCCGCCCGC